GGTAGGAACATCTGGGTCTGGGTGTTGCCACTATGAGGAGGTATTAGGAAAAGCCAGGGGAGTGGACGGAAAGAAGAGTCCAGGTCAATGGTTTTCCTTGGTACCTCTGAAAAATCAGAGAGATGGGCTGCTTGACCTCATCTGCTTGTAGTAAGTATGGGAAATGGTCACTTTGGAGCAAAGGGCTGGACAAAATGACTTTAGCCCAAAGGACTGTTCCTTATCAGGATTCCTTTCCACAGCAAGCTGCCTCGTACCCAGCCAGACGGCACCAGCGTCCCTGGAGAACCAGCCTCACCCATCTCCCAGCGCCTGCCGCCCAAGGTAGAATCCCTGGAGAGTCTCTACTTCACACCCATCCCTGCGCGGAGTCAGGCGCCCCTGGAAAGCAGCCTGGACTCCCTAGGAGACGTCTTCCTGGACTCGGGTCGTAAGACCCGCTCCGCTCGTCGGCGCACCACACAGATCATCAACATCACCATGACCAAGGTCAGGCTGCCAGAACGGGGGATGGGGGCTGCGGGTGGCAATTCCCACTTCCTCTCAAGGGTGTCTGCATCAGACGCTCAGTCAGGAGCAGGCAGGGATAAGCAGTCAGTTCATGGGGTCTTAAAAAGGGCAGTGACTTGGTTAGGGCCTCTTCTGAAGAAAAGGTCAGGGCTGGGATTAGATTCCTACCTCGACTCTACATGCATTCTCTTCATGCATAGCACTGTGCAGGGTGAAGGGAGAGAACATGGCAAAGCTGCAGCCCGTCCTGTGCCTCCCAGAACGCCCCATGCAGCTGAGAGGCATTGTCGCTGCACAGTGGCCTGCCTGCCAGGCTGCAGGCTCTTGCCTTTGTTTCACATCTTGAACAGGTGGTTTGGGAGGAGGGGCAAGAGGCCTCTGGTACAACAGGGAGGACCTGTGTGTGCAGGGTGTCCCCTGCTACCAGGAAGCTGGGGAAGTTCTAGAGGATGGTCTGGGCCCTGGAAGCTTGGACCGAGGGACGGCAGAGGCTGTGGGATGAGCCTGACTAGTCAGGAGACATGGGGCCCAGCCCCAGCTCTGATACTTCCTAGCAGTGTGATTGTGGCTAGTCACTTCATTTCTCTTTGCACTTCCCCTCTAAAATGGGCTGATAAGCACTCTGCATTCCCTCCCTTAAAGCACTGTGAATAGACTTGATGAAAAAAATGCATAGAAAAGAGTCTTGACAACATCAGCTCCACCCTGTGAGGGCTTCTGTCAGTAAGGTCCATTTCTTGCAGACAGACACATTAAGGTCCTTTGCAAAGCAGTTGGGAGGATGTGCCATGGAGTCTGGGTGCTTTGGGAGGGAACGGGAAGCTTCTTTACAGTGCCAGAGTCCACCCCACTGCAACAGGTTCATTCTCTTTTCCAGAAGCTAGATGTGGAAGAGCTTGAGAGCGCTAACTCATCCTTCTGTAGCACACAGTCTGCTCCTGCATCCCAGGCTGGCCTGCGAGCCACCTCCTCTACTCAGTCTCTAGCCCGCCTGGGTTCTCCCGATTATGGCAACTCAGCCCTGCTTAGCCTGCCTGGCTACCGCCCCACCACTCGCAGTTCTGCTCGTCGCTCCCAAGCTGGGGTGTCCAGTGGGGCCCCTCCAGGTGAGGGGGCTACAGGGACTTACTATACCCAAAAATTAGACTGGAAGGTAGATCGTGGCACAGGGAAAAGAGGCAAATTTTTTAAAAATCCAAGGCTGGCCTCCTTGCTACTGCCCAGTAGCCCCTCCTTCCTGCAGCCTCAAGGGCCTTCCTTACCTGTCCATTTCAGGGCTGGCTGTGTTGGGCACTCTTAGCCAGAGTGAACCAGGGATGCTCACTAAGGGCCTGGGATTCCCAGCACAATCTTGGGGAGTCCTCTGTGCCCTTCTCAGGTGGTGATGGGCTGCTAGAAAGGTCAGGCTGGCTGGACTCTTCCTGGAGGCTCTTGCCCTTTGGGTACCAGAGAGCCCTTGGGAATAAATTCCTTATTTTGTTCCTCCGGGTGTTGGGCGCTAAGCCTTGGTGTGTGAATAAGATGTAGTAGCAGCCTCTGCGTGTGACCTCTTCTGCCCTCTCCAGGGAGAAGGTGGTGAGCAAACCCCTAGGATAGAAATAGTCTGTGTGCCTTACTCCTGCACCTGCGGCACTGAATCAGACTCTGGCTTAAAATTTATGGGGTAGGTGGCAGCAAAGGCTGGCAACATGCCAGGGTGAGCAGGCGACCTGCCAACTTCCCTGCCCTCCACAGGAAGAAACAGCTTCTACATGGGCACTTGCCAGGATGAGCCTGAGCAGCTGGACGACTGGAACCGGATTGCAGAGCTGCAGCAGCGCAACCGAGTGTGCCCACCACACTTGAAGACCTCCTATCCCCTGGAGGCCAGGGTGAGCCCTGGGGTCACTGTGCAGGGCCTCCCATCCCTGCCCTCCCTTGAAATCCCACCTGCTGATCTAGCCTGAGCACTAGCCCGAGGAAGGGGGAGGATGACCTCATGCTTGCAGGGAGGGCATTCGGGAGTGAAGTCCCTGGGGGTGGGCAAGAGCTCAGAGAGGAATCTGATTAGGACTGCACTGCTTGTAGCCATTCGCTCAGGGCGTATGTAGAAAGTAGAACAAGAAGGGAGACCTCGTGAGGTAGGAAGGGTCCACCTACTCTAAGTGTCAGGTGAGTGCAGAGTTCTGGGACAGCCCCAGGTCCTGCTCCATATCCATACAGCTACAGTCCACTGACCACCTCTTCCACTAATGCAGCCTTCCCTGAGCCTGGCCACCATCTCAGATGAGGAGATGAAAACTGGAGACCCCCAGGAGACCCTGCGCCGAGCCAGCATGCAGCCAATCCAGATAGCAGAGAGCACTGGCATTACCACCCGACAGCAGCGCAAACGGGTCTCCCTAGAGCCCCACCAGGGCCCTGGCACTCCTGAGGTAGGCGCAGTGGCTCCTGGGTGTTGCTCCAGCACTGTGCCCAGGTCAGGTCCAGCTCACCATGGACCAAAGGGAGCCTTTCCTGTCCACACCCCCCACCCGCTCTCCAAGGGCCTAGGGCATGGATGGGAACTGCTGGGAAGGGAAGCCCTCTGGCTCAGAATTGGGGAGGGCAGCAGGTTGCACAAGTTGACTTACAGGGTCCACTCAGCTCTGAGAGAACAAGACGCCTGGCTTCAGATGTGACTCCTCTTGCTAGTGTCTGCCTAACTGTCCTCTTCCTCATAGTCTAAGAAGGCCACCAGCTGTTTCCCACGCCCCATGACTCCCCGGGACAGACATGAAGGGCGCAAACAGAGCACTACTGAGGCCCAGAAGAAAGTGGCTCCAGCTTCTAAACAGGTGAGGCCGGGGCTGGGAGGAATGAAGCGATGCCCTGGTGGGACCTTGCTGGCAGAGCATGGCGCAGCGGGCTGGTCTGGGAAGGCAGCATTAGCTCTCCTAGTCTGACAGCCCTTCCTTGCAGGCTGACCGGCGCCAGTCAATGGCCTTCAGCATCCTCAACACACCCAAGAAGCTAGGGAACAGCCTTCTGCGGCGGGGGGCCTCAAAGAAGGCCCTGTCCAAAGCTTCCCCCAACACTCGCAGTGGAACCCGCCGCTCTCCGCGCATTGCTACCACCACAGCCAGCGCCGCCACTGCTGCTGCCATTGCTGCCACCCCTCGAGCCAAGGGCAAGGTAGAGGCACTGGCAGGATGGGGGAGGGAGGCCCAATGAGAGCGTGGTCACCCCCAGACCGCTCCAAGGAGCAGCATCCAAGACAGGGCCACGCCAGGTGGCTGGAGGGTGGTGGGGTAAAAGGTGTCCCTGTCCTGGTAGCTACTGATTATTAAGAAGAGAAGACAAATGGCCCCATTCTCATGGAGACCACCCAGAGCTGCTCAGGCATAGCCAGCAACTGATAACCCGGGGGGTCACAAAGGATGGGAGCAGGAAGAGGTCTTCCAAGCCAGTGGGTGCAGGCTGGCATCCCAAGTTCTTATCTGGCCATGTGTCTGTGTCTCTTTCAGGCAAAGCACTAAAGGGCTAGTACCAGAGAGTGGCCCCACCTGTGTCCCCGATGTTGACCTCACCTGGTCTTCCTTCTACTGTCCCTCTCAGTGCCTTCTCTCAGCTCCCAGGCCAATAGTAGCCAAACCCCTAGAGACAGTAATGTCTGCCCGCACCCTGGCCTGGTCCCTGGACTTTCACTGGCACCTTCTCAGAGCTGGACCAGGAAGCCTGGAGCATGGACAGTGTGGGTGCTCTCCCTACCTTGCCTCGTTTTTTCTTAGAGCAGTCACTTCTCCATCACAACCAGATTTGAGGCTGATGGCTGGGTCCTTGGGCCTAGCCAGTCTTCCTCCCAGCCTCTGGATCTAGAAGGGACCAGAGGAGGAGTAGGCCTGGTTCCTGCTCTCCCGGTGGCTGGGCCTAGCAGGAGCTCTCACTCTTGAAGTCCAGGACCGGGTCTGACTTGGTGGGAACACCTGCAAGAGGATGCCCTTTTCCAGCATGGATGGGCCCTGTGGCTCAGGAGTGGGGTGGATAGCCTTCAGCGGCAGCTCACACCCTGCCTTCCCCAGACTTGCACTGGGGTGGGATTATGGAGTGATGGGAAGGTTTTTAAGGGCCAGGGATGGATCTTTTCTAAATGTTATTACTTGTAAATAAAGTCTATTTTTCTCCCTTGAGTACTGAGTTGCCTTGATCTAAGTGGGAAAGGGTAGGGGGGAAATCCAGGTTCTTTGGAGCCTACCTTGTCCCCGCTGAGTCTTCCAGACCACCTCCTTCCTCTCATCCCTTTTCCTGGGCCACATCTTTCTTTCCAGGCTTCCCACTCTCCATTACTGGCCTCTGCTCCTGGGGAGCATTATGGGCTGTTCTCTCTCTTCTTTTTCAAGGGCCTGTGTTCCCCTGAAGCTGGTTTTGTCTTTCACTTCTGTGTGGCAGTCCCTCTCTTCCCATACTCCCTCCTGGGACAGGCAAAGTTCCTGGGAGTGAAACTGAAGCCTAAATGAACAGATGTCAGAATGCCTCCATTGAATAATCCTTTATGAGGACCCATGTGGGGATAACAGAGATACAGTGTGGATCTGAAGCAGCCGCTGTCCCCATCCCTTCCCTGGAACAGTCCATTAGAGTGAAGGGGGGAAGATAACCAAATACAGCATGAAGACTGAAGTCTGCAGAATAGCCAGAGCTGAAAGCGGGAGACTTCACTGAAGAGGCGGTGTTTCAACCAGGCTTGAGAGTTCCCCTGTTGGAGTGGTGAGGAAGGTGGGACCAAATGAGCAGAGGCATGGGAGTGGGAGCTGTCTGGGAAAAGCCTCTGGAAAGTCCCATGGGAAATGTAGGCAGGGCCCTGGCGTGCAAGGCTAAGGCATCAACAGTCTTGGTTTCAGTGGTTTCTGAGCAGTAAAGCACTGTGAGGAGCAGGACATTAGGAAGGGTGGAGAGAATGGCAAGAGGAGGGGCATTATAGGGAAGTTGTGATTTCCTAAGTAGATGGGAATGGAGTTTGAATTTGGTGAGAGAAAGAAACCAAAGCACAGGAGAAGAGGGTGTGCTGCTTGCCCGTACAGCCTGCAGGCAGTCAAGGACTGTAGGTAGGTAGGTAGGTAGGACCCAGGCTCTGGTCAAGGTCGTGCTGCTGCTGGCCCTGTGCTGTGGCTGGAGGGCAGGGCTTCTTGGGTGGGGGACAAGGTTGTCCTCAGCCCAGCCTAGGGAAATGAAGGCAAACGAGGATCAGGCCAAGGAAAGGAGGAACGCGTCTCATCACTTTGCCCCAGGCCACACCTCCCCTGCCTAAGTTCCTTTTTGTCTCCTCAGGCTGACCTTGAGGAATGCTGGATGTTAGTTTAGAGGCTGCCCTGGCAGAGCCCACCCTTTCCTCCCCGTATATGGAAACAGCTCCTCCTGTTCCTGGAGGCCTCTCCTTAAGCTCCTCACCCAGAGCTGGGCCAGAACGATGTGACGCTGGACAACCTGTTCGGGGTCCACGAGCACACAGGAGAAGTTGGTGACGTGCAGGGCAGGGGTCAGCTGCTCCAGCACCAAGGTCCTGCTCAGCTGTGTACCTGTGCTCCCACGTTCCCAACTGGAGCAGAAAGGAAGGAAAGGTCATGCAGGCCACAGAAGGAGGCCTCCTTCCCACCCACCTGGCTGCTGCAACCCTCACCTGGTGCTGCCCTCCCACAGGTCTGGAAGGTGCTCAATGAAGGAACCATTGCCCAGCCAGTAGAGGATGCTGAAGTGGGGGAAGCGGCTGCAGGCAGTACAGGACAAGGTCAGCGTTCCATCTAGGGACACAAGCAGCAGTTAGCCCTCCCGAAGAGCAGGCCCTTTCCCTGGCCTGCTCTGCTGTGCCCTCCCTGCCAGCTCCCCCTAGTTGGGAAGGTCTGTTAAAGGGGAAGTGCAGTTGTCTCCGAGAGGCCCTAGCCCTAAACATGGGGAATATGGGGAAGGGTCTTTGGTTCATGTGATGACTCCTCTTCTGAGTCTGTCTCCTCAGGATGACCTTTTCTAGTACCCAGTCTCTGACTTGGGAGCCCAGGTGACCGAGGCAGTGCTGGGTGGCTATTGCTCCTATGAGATGGCTAGAGGCCAGTGGGCTCTGGGTGGAGGGGCTGGCCTTGGAGTCCACTGCAATCAAGGCTGTGAGAGGTCCTGTGACCATTACTTACATCTGAGTTCTCTGTCCTATTTGATAGGGAGCATCTTGGGAGCTGCGCCAAGCCCATGACACTGGGTTGTGGAGGGAGAATGTGAGGGTTCAGCCCAGCTGGCCCAGTTGGTGGTACATGGCAGAAGGGGGCTGGCGCTCAGAAGTCAACTCAACCCTGGGAACCTCTGTGCCCACAGCCTACCCCCGACCACTGTGCTCCTTACTCAGTGGCAGTTCCACCTCTGGCCAGGTCACCTCCAATGCTGGACACTGCTTTGCTGCTGGGAACACTGGGGGCTGGAAGGAGCAGGGGTCCTTTGTGCTTCTAGCTGAGGCAGTGGCAGTTGTGGTGGTCTGTGAGACAGATGTGGCTCTGTCCAGGAGAGTGATGATGTGGGCACACAGGAGCAGGACCCACAAAGGACTGGGGACTGAGGAAAGGACAGTCACAGGTCAGTGGCTGGGTTGCCTGGGAGCGCTCAGCATCATGGCTTCTATCTGGACTGGAGACAGAGTGGGCTGCCCAGGTAAGGATGTACCTTCAGCCCAAAGATGTCTGGGCTCTAGCCGGGGAATCAGAGCAAAAGAGGGGCCCCTCAGCACCCACCCCTTTATTGAATACAGAGAAGCTTTGTAATAGAGCCAGAGCCACAGCATCTGTCCAGGTTCTTAAAGCAATAGCACCAGGTGGGTTGGTGTTTTCCTTGGGGTGAAGGCTCCGGGTTAGCCTATCACTCCATTCTGTTCATAGGCCTCACCCTACCCTGCCCATGGGCAGCCCCAAGGCCTACCTGGTATCCACTTCTGTCTCATGGTCATGATGCATGCGTCAGGAGCTGCTAAGCTTGGCTCTCTGTCTGTGACAACGTCCTCTTCTCTGGTGAAAGGTGGGGGAGGAGAATCGTAAACCACTGCCACGTTTTCTCAGTAGCTGGCTTTTCCTCCCGTAGCATAGCCTGGAGCTCTTTCAGCACTTAGAAACAGAGCTGGGGGGTCATCCAGTGACAATCCCCCCTCCACCCCAGCTCTCATGACCAAAAATGGTAAGATGCTTACCTAGTCCAATCTTACCCCTTCATTAGGGAGGGTAAAATGAGACCCAAAGAGAGAACAGGGAGTCACCCAGTCACCCTCTCCAGCCACATAGCTGCTTCTGGGAAGGGCAGGATCCTGAGCAATCCTTCTGGGAAAGTACTGCCCCCATCCTCTATTTCACTTTCACTTTTTAAACAGAATTCCTTAAAAGTGAGTGTTTTCAGAAACCTTCAGCTCCCGGGACCCCTACCTCTCCAGATGATACCAGACTGGGACCTCTAATCTACCTCCACGCCACCCCAGGGTCACCTAGGGCGTGAACTAGATTGAGAGTCTCTCACGGATCAATTCTGTCCCAGCCAAGGGTCAGGACTTTGGTGTCCACCTCCCCTCTTCAGACCCAGGTCTTTATTTCCATGTGAACAGGCTTCCTCCTCCACCTTCACACTGATATTCAACGGGACAATTTTCCTGGGCACTGGGGACCCCAAGTTGGATCATTTTCACCATTTCAGGCTCAAAGCCATACCAGCCGCTCAACATCCTGGCCTTTCCCAGGCTCCCCACTCTCCCAGCCACCAGCCCCAAGGTAGGCTGCATCTCCCAGTACCCCACCCATGGGTCTCTCATCCTAGCCCCTCTGGCCGGGGCTATAGGTCTAGGTTCACTAGTATTCCCAGACTCCTCCTACCTGGTTCCCAAGAGGTCCTGAAGAGCCTGCCTTTCCAGAAGCTCCCCTCCATGAGCTCCAAGACTCAAGCTGGCTGTGTCTAGCTGCGTGTGAACCCACCACAGGAAACACACTGAGAGCACTTTCCCCTTGTCCACAGAACTCACACAGCCAACCCAGGAACTGACACACAGGCTCGAGAGCTGACCCCCAGCAGGAGGTAGACAGGAGCTGTGTGTCTCAGGTTTGTGACTCCTGTAATCAAGAGGGTATGAGGGCTGATGACAGAGCCAGTGAGGCCCCCAGATGGAACTGCATCAGGAACACAGTTGTGATCTCCTATGTCTAAATTAGGAATATGGCTTTTCCACAAGAAAACAATAGGAGACTACAAGTCACATCTTGTAGGTGTGAATTTCAAGTTTTTCCTCCTTTCAATTCCTCCCTCTACCTCCTGCTCCAGGGGCTTCTAATACTATGATGTAAGGGAAATTCCTCCCAGGAACACCAGCATCTCCAGGAGTTAGGTCAGGAGGCAAGGCTGCCTGGGGTTTCTGAAAGATACAGTCCAGTGGGGGATGGTAGGGACAGATGACAGAACTCTGCCTTAGTGTAACCAAGACCAGAGTTGGGCAAAGGGGAGGTCATGGGATTCAGGACTGTTATGAGTGAAAAGAGAGCTCTGGACAGCCTGGTCTCAGCTTCTCACCTGCGCCTGACATGGGGGTGGGAGAAAAAAGTGAAAGGAAGTAATCCCTGTTCCTTTGACCAGCCACATTCCCCTCTCTGAGAGGAACAGCCCCAGAGGAGGCATAAGCAGCAGGGCATCATGGGAAGCCACAGCAGGGGAAGAAAAGCCGAGGCTGAGTATGGCCCTGAGGAAGGCAGGTGGTGGCAGGACACTGGCCTCAGGCAGTGAGAACATAGAGCAACCTCAGTCTGAAAGCAGGCCCAGTGATGCCCCAGGCCCTCTTAGGCCACAGGCATTCTACCACTCCACCACTCCCACGGATGTCAGCAGGGGAACTGCAGGGAACGGCAGAAAGGCAGGGCCAACCACCCCCAGACCCTCAGGTCTCAGACGGGGGTTAGCAAAGGCAAGACGCGCCTGGAGACCCCAGAGAGAGGTGGGAAGAAGAAAGCAAGATAAATGTTCAGCTTTCCGACCCAGCTCACGGAGCTTTATTCAGACGGGAGTGACAACATCCTGCTGGTTCTTGCTGCCCTTGAAGGGGCAGGTGCTACTGGGTCTATTCCCTAGAAACCCAATGCTGAAGGCCCATGTTTGACCTCCCACCTTATTCAAGTCGCCAAGGACCAGGGCTGGGGCCTTCCTAGAAGCCCCTTCTCAAAACCTGTACTCACCTAGGCCTTATTCCTCTACCCACCCACCCACCACTCCTGTTGTCAGACCCAGGGAGGACCCATGAATGACAAAAATCATGTAGGGATATTCCCTGGCCTGAGAATCCCCTGCCAGCTTCCAGGGCATATCATCTGACACAGGGAGAAGTTGACATGTCATATTCTCTGACTCATGAGCACGCACACGCAAGCACACGCACATGCATATGCACTCTTAGGCTTTCAGGAAGTGTGGCAGAGTGACTTTTGGCACGTGTCACCACTCCACTGAAGGATCCACTGAAGAATGCGTTTGCATAAGGGGCTGTCAGTCACAGCTGCCAACAACTGCCCCATGACCCAACTATATGATCTCTATTCTTGGCTCACCACAGCCCTGCACACAGGCAAGTATCCACAGTGCTGATTCTTCCAGTTGTCTCAAAACAAGTCTTCAATGAATTGAGGCCCCAAGGCTTCCCTCGTTGGACAAGTCACTGATAAGGTTCCACTTGCCTCAACTAGCCTATAGCCCCCCAACAGAGGGAGACAGAGTCAGACACACACCTGTCCTGTGTCCCAGACAGTAGGCAGGGGAGGGAAGACACCTGGGGCCTCAGTACTCACCTGTAGCAGTAGCCTGAGTACATTAGCTCTTTACTAAGTGCACCAGGCTTGAGCCCACACAAAGAAGGGAGTGGGTGGGCTGAGGCCTTCAGCTACCTGGGAGCCCAGCAGTGTTCTCAGCCAGAGATGAAAAGGCTCCTTTAAACCAAAAATATGGCTCTGCCCCCACCCTGCTTGGACGGGGAGGGTGAAGCCTGGAGGGGGCAATTCCTATGCTCCACAATAAAAAAGGGTTTTTTAAATATATTCATCAAAATAGTTTTCTTTTAAAAAGCCCCGCACTGCTGACAGCCCCACTGGCTGGCTCTCCATCATATCCCTCCCCAGTCCGACATAGCCGGAGGGGTCCTGAGTGGCCCAAGCACCCCTTTGAGTCTTTCCCACCCAGGAGTTCTTTGTGGGCAGGGAGGAGAGTGCCCTGAGGTCCACGGCGTGTGGGGTGGGTTCTCCAATGATGTTCTTCATCACTATTCCAAGCCCAGAATGTAGTTGATGCCTTGGACTAGGCCAATGATGACAGGCTGCCAGGCTACCAAGTATCGAAGCCAGTCTAGCAGTTGCCCATACATGACGTGAGGCCTCTCCCAGCTGTCAGTGTGTTAAAGAGACTCTGTGCAAGAGCTGCCAGGGGTGAGCTAGCATGGGTGTGGGGGGCTTCCTGGGTCTGCCCCACTTTCCAGCTCCTCCACAGCCTAGAGGAATGGAGACTGCTTTCTGGAAGGGCCCACCCAGCCTTACTTCCTACTCAGCCAGCACTCCCAACTTTGCCCTCCCCCTCCTCTTCCTCCTCACAGCCTATCCGTTGGAGTAAAAAGCTGAACACAGAGAATGCAGGACGCAGGACAGAGGGGACTGGTATGGGGGACAGGACAGACCTGACGGAAGTGGAGAGAGAAATCCTAGTTCCCCATGACCAACATGCAGGGAGGGCCTCCTGTAACACCTTCTCTAAGAAGGAACTGCCAGTGTGAGGCAGCCACAAATCTATCTATCCGTGACAATGGCTGCAAGGAGGCTGAGAACAGGCAATACTCCTAGAATAGGGAGACTGGGGGTGTATCACGGGGCAGGACTAGCAGCTCAGCTTCCCATCATGGTTCAACATGTTCTGGTTGGGAGCAGAGGGGAAAGCCCCAGGACGACCCAAATGCAGGTCACACTGACCAGTACTTTCTTCCCACAGCCCACTCCCAACAATGACCCCAACAAAGGATACGGATTGCTGAACATTCTCTTGAGGTCTACCTTCTCTTTGCAGTAGGGACACGTCTGCTTCTTTCCCACGATGCACCAGCCGCGGATGCAGAACTCGTGAAAGCTGAGCTCTGCTGGTCAAGGGAAATGGTGGGAGCCAGGGCGGCACTCCAGCCCCATGCCAGTCTTTGAAAGGTTCAAATCCTGGCTTCGCTCTATAATCTTGGGCAAGTCCCTCTGTCTGGACCTGTTTCCTCTCATGTGAAGTAAGGATAATGATCCCCATCTCACAAGACTGTTATGGGGCAAAATAGAGATGATACATGGTTCTCCCAACAGAGGCACTGAATGGGAGCTAAGTGAATACATGATAAATATTACAAGTGTTACTCAGAATAGGGGATACGACGCTAAACTAAGGGATCTCATTAGAGGTCCTCTTCCCCTGTGACTGGTCCGACCTCGGGTCTGCTAGCACAGCTTCACCAGCTGCAGCCTCAGGTTCCTCTCAGACCCAGCCAGAGTGTAACCACTGTTTACATAAGAGTGGCTCTGATTTGTGGGAAAGGGCAGGGAAGGCGGCCCTCTTGTGGTTCTCCTACATGCAAGGGTCTGGACAGCACAGCTAGGGTCACGACCATCCCCTTTCTCTCCCTGACTGGAGTGTGCAGGTCACAGGAGAGACGTGGCTCAGGAGCTCGAGGCAGGATACACGTGATTGCAAGACAGCCTGTATGTGTTCTCAATGATGCCCTCTTCACTGACGTCCACAAAGATCTGCTGGCCACACACAGCACACACGCTGTCTGAAAGATGTTTGGTAGGCATGCCCGACTCGCTGTAGAACTGAAGAAGAGCGGGAATGAATGACAGGAAAAGCTGTGAGAAGCAGCCAAAGTAGGAAGCTCCACAGAGGCCTCAGGCCTTCTAAAGAGAAGGCACAGTGGCAGGGGGAGGCCCAGAGTTAGGAGGACTTTTTTAAAAACTCTTTAGAAAAGGTCACCTTTTACAAGTCAAATCAACCTCATCTTTCCTGGGCAGATGGGGAGAAGTGACCAGACTAGAGACAGTTGGGAAGTTAGATTAACAGGAACTGTAGACTGGGAGGGATCATCTCCAAGGGATAAGGGGAATCAGAGGGAGAAGAACTTGGGGCTGGTGATCAGGAGCTGTGTCAAATAAGCCATTCTGTCGCCAGACTATGGTTCCATCAGAAATGGACAACAATATTCTCCAACATTTAAAGGAGTGAAATATTAAGTGCCATATTGGTTTGGTGACAAAGGCATTCTCAGACATTTGTGGCAGCAGCAAAGGAGGTTGAAGCCTTTCAGATAGCATTTAGCATGGTGTCTCAAACTGTTGTTGACCCACTAATTTCAGTTCAAGGAATTTAAAGAAATAAGATGAAGTGTCAAAAATGCTTCATGCAAACAGATATTCACTTAAGCATTATCATAATTAAGAAGGCAAGGAGTCTGGCATGTCCTCAAAAAGTTAAAACACAGAATTGCCAAATGACCAGGCAATTCCATTCCTCAGTATAAACCCAAAAGATATGAGACTAGGGCTAAACAGACACTTAAACACCAATGCTCACAGCATTACTCACAGTAGCCAAAAAGTGGAAACAACCCAAGTTGCTATTGACAGATGAATGAATAAACCAAACACGGTGCACACACACAACGGAATACTATTCAGCCATAAAAAGGAATGATACATTCTATACACAAATGAACTTTGAAAACACTATGATAAGTGAAAGAAGCCAGAGGCAAAGGGACAAATATTGTGTGATTCCATTTACATGAAATATCTGCAATAGGCATGTTCACAGAGATGGAAAGTATATTACAGGTAAACCAGGGGCTGTGGGCAGGGGTAATGAGGAGTTACTCCTTAACGGGCAGAGTTTCTGTTTGGGATGATGAAAAACTTTGGAATTAGACAGTGACAATGGTTGCATAACACCAAAAATGTAATTAATGCACTGAATTGTATACTTCAAAATGGTCAAAATGGTGAAGTGGTCTAGAAATCTCTTCTGGAGAGTAAACTGGTTAAAGGATGATCCAATGTCTACACAAATAGATAAGAGGGAAATGAAGGTAAAACACAAGACAGTTGTTCAAAAAGGAACCTAATAAACTGTCTATAAAGTGATCTAATGTACTGTTTTCAATTTGACCCAGTACAGAAAAAATCAGAATAGTCCCATGATACTGAGAAACAAGTCACTGGCCTTAAACAGCACTCGATTAAAGTTACCCAAGGTGATGGAAATATTCCTACTTGGGGTGAGGTCTTGGGGGATGACACTGAGACAGGGAGTACTTCTGTGTTGTTTAAATAATTACAAAGAGAACATATTACTTTTATAAACAGCAAAACAACAAAGATATATTTCCATTCTGGAAAAAAAAAAAACTTAGAAATACTTTCTTGCATTTCTCGGATTGGTGTTAATTTCCCCATATTTAAGCATCTCTCCACGATGGCCACCTGCTCCTCTTGCATTTCCTATCTCAGTGAAAGGTACTGCCATTCAAGCAGTTGCTGAATCACAAATGTCAGCTTTGAGACCTTCATCTCCTTCATATTTTTCCCTTCAGTCTTCAAAGCCAAACTATATCTAAGTCCTGTC